ACACAGTCACACACTGCTCTGCCTGGCCAAAACTCAATTATTACGAGGAAGCAGTGTGATTCCAGGAAATCTTTAACACACATACACACACACACACACACACACACTCTCTCTCTCTCTCTCTCACACACACACTCTCTCTCTCTCTCTCTCTCTCTCACACACACACACACACTCTCTTTCACACACACACACTCTCTCTCACACACTCTCTCTCTCTCACACACACACACTCTCTCTCTTACACACTCTCTCTCACACACACACTCTCTCTCTCACACACACACACACTCTCTCTCTCTTACACACTCTCTCACACACACACACACTCTCTCTCTCACACACACATACACACACACTCTCTCTCTCTCTCTCTCTCTCTCTCTCTCCCTCTCTCTCACATCAACTATTGACACATATGGGATATTACATCAATTCCATACAATATGTATTCTTTTGTCTCGAAATATTAACGAAATGGTACATACTGTACATCTGTACAAACACGGAAATCTTTGTTCCGCTTTCCTAAAATAAAACAACGCAACCTCCCACAAATTGCTTGAAGGTAAACAGGAATATCGATAATTATCACATGTCACAAACAACTAAATCACAGTATCAATCTCTGCCTAAATACATTATATCACAACTTGGTCATTCATATCACAATACATATACTTAAGAGACTTGCGACTTAAGACTTGCGTTTTGGTCACACATTTTCAACATAAATTGTCATCGAAAATTCTCGATAAATATAATTATGTTCACATTTTCTCAATTGAAAAGATATTGTCAGCCACAAAAATTAAACTGTTGCAATGTGGTATCTTTTAGAAAAAAATATTTTGGCTCATAGATTTAATGTTAAAAATATCTGCGTATACCTGTGTATACATGTGCATACCTAGTTGTAGAGGTCCCTCCCCTATTGGACGTACATGTGTATACCTTGTGGTAAAGGTCCCTCCACTAGTGGACCTACATGTGTTTACCTTGTGGTAAAGGTTCCTCCACTAGTGGACCTACATGTGTATACCTTGTGGTAAAGGTTCCTCCACTAGTGGACGTACATTTGTATACCTTGCCGTAATGGGTCTCTCCACTAGTGGACGTACATGTGTATACCTTGTTGTAAAGGTCCCTCCCCTGTTGGACGTACATTTGTATACCTTGGGGTAAAGGTCACTCCACTAGTGGACGTACATGTGTATACCTTGAGGTAAAGGTCCCTCCACTAGTGGACCTACATGTGTTTACCTTGTGGTAAAGGTTCCTCCACTAGTGGACCTACATGTGTATACCTTGTGGTAAAGGTTCCTCCACTAGTGGACGTACATTTGTATACCTTGCCGTAATGGGTCTCTCCCCTAGTGGACGTACATGTGTATACCTTGCCGTAATGGGTCTCTCCCCTAGTGGACGTACATGTGTATACCTTGTTGTAAAGGTCCCTCCCCTGTTGGACGTACATTTGTATACCTTGTGGTAAAGGTCCCTCCACTAGTGGACGTACATGTGTATACCTTGTGGTAAAGGTCCCTCCACTAGTGGACGTACATCTGTATACCTTGTGGTAAAGGTCCCTCCACTAGTGGACGTACATGTGTATACCTTGTGGTAAAGGTCCCTCCCCTGTTGGACGTACATTTGTATACCTTGTGGTAAAGGTTCCTCCACTAGTGGACGTACATGTGTATACCTTGTGGTAAAGGTTCCTCCACTAGTGGACCTACATGTGTATACCTTGGGGTAAAGGTCCCTCCACTAGTGGACGTACATGTGTATACCTTGTGGTAAAGGTCCCTCCACTAGTGGACGTACATGTGTATACCTTGTGGTAAAGGTCCCTCCACTAGTGGACGTACATGTGTATACCTTGTGGTAAAGGTCCCTCCCCTGTTGGACGTACATTTGTATACCTTGGGGTAAAGGTCCCTCCACTAGTGGACGTACATGTGTATACCTTGTGGTAAAGGTCCCTCCACTAGTGGACGTACATGTGTATACCTTGTGGTAAAGGTCCCTCCACTAGTGGACGTACATGTGTATACCTTGTGGTAAAGGTCTCTCCACTAGTGGACGTACATCTGTATACCTTGTGGTAAAGGTTCCTCCACTAGTGGACGTACATGTGTATACCTTGTGGTAAAGGTTCCTCCACTAGTGGACGTACATGTGTATACCTTGTGGTAAAGGTTCCTCCACTAGTGGACGTACATGTGTATACCTTGCCGTAAGGGGTCTCTCCACTAGTGGACGTACATCTGTATACCTTGTGGTAAAGGTCTCTCCACTAGTGGACGTACATCTGTATACCTTGTGGTAAAGGTTCCTCCACTAGTGGACGTACATCTGTATACCTTGTGGTAAAGGTTCCTCCACTAGTGGACGTACATGTGTATACCTTGTGGTAAAGGTTCCTCCACTAGTGGACGTACATGTGTATACCTTGTGGTAAAGGTTCCTCCACTAGTGGACCTACATGTGTATACCTTGTGGTAAAGGTCCCTCCACTAGTGGACGTACATGTGTATACCTTGTGGTAAAGGTCCCTCCACTAGTGGACGTACATGTGTATACCTTGCCGTAATGGGTCTCTCCACTAGTGGACGTACATCTGTATACCTTGTGGTAAAGGTTCCTCCACTAGTGGACGTACATCTGTATACCTTGTGGTAAAGGTTCCTCCACTAGTGGACGTACATGTGTATACCTTGTGGTAAAGGTTCCTCCACTAGTGGACGTACATGTGTATACCTTGTGGTAAAGGTCCCTCCACTAGTGGACGTACATGTGTATACCTTGTGGTAAAGGTCCCTCCACTAGTGGACCTACATGTGTATACCTTGTGGTAAAGGTCCCTCCACTAGTGGACGTACATGTGTATACCTTGTGGTAAAGGTCCCTCCACTAGTGGACGTACATGTGTATACCTTTTGGTAAAGGTCTCTCCACCGTGATGTGTATCAATCTAACCGTGACGAATTACAGAATTACGTAGAAACAACGTCTAGGTCTTGTCTCACGCCTGCACCAGAGCCTGGAGTAAAGTCCCCCTTTAGGCAACACAGTTTATGTAACACGGTCATTGGTTAAGCCGGCACCAGAGCCTGGAGTAAAGTCCCCCTTTAGGCAACACAGTTTATGTAACACGGTCATTGGTGATACACAGGCATGACATTATAATCATAACGAGTACAGTTCATCTTCTTGCAATTAATAATAAAACAACCACATAAAAATGTTGTCGTACCTGTGTTGTGCCTGCATATGCGTGTGTGTGTGTGTGTGTGTGTGTGTGCGCGCGTGCGTGCGTGCGTGCGTGCGTGCTTGCGTGTGTGTGTGTGTGTGTGTGTGTGTGTGTGTGTGTGTGTGTGTCAGTGTGTGCCTGTCAGTGTGTGTCTATCAAATAAATGCATGCTTGTATCTGTCTGTCTGTGCGCGCGCATGCGCAGTGTCTTAGCCTGTGTGCCTGTTAGTGAATGTATGTGCTTGTCTGTGTGTGTGTGTGTGTGTGTGTGTGTGCATGTGTGTCTTTCATATGTGTGCGTGTGTCTCTGTTGTGCCTGTATTGTGTCTGTATTGTGTCTACACATAAACCGTTGGTGCAAAACATGAATTACATATATACACATGAAAACATCATTTCGCTCATTTTAGTCTTCTTCAATGGCATGTTATTATCAGTGCCTATCGTGGAGCTCATTACGTGAAAATTATTTCCGTTTCGAGTCAGGATAATTTTATACAATGATATAAGTATATGCGATTGTTCGTGCGTGACAGTTGGACTAGTTTGTACGAACCGGGTGACACATTCCACAGATTAACGTGACCTGTATCCCAGTCAACAAGTTTCACCCCTACAAAACAGGCTAACAGTGACTGACTGCTACACAAGCGGTGATAATGATGGTGTTTACTGGGGTGTGCAGTTTTAATATACCCGGTTAGTTGAAGTGTTCGACAAATTGTCGGTAAATATATTCTGGCGTATCTGTAAAGTAACAAACGATCATTCACGGTGCGAGTTAAATACATCGAGGAATGTTAGAATACTGCATAAAATGTTTGCAAAACATAACAACATTAACATGGCAGGTTCACAGAAGAAGGTGGTTAACAGAATACAGACCGGTTAAATGTGAGAGGCCTTTACTGTGCCCCTATTTGATACACGAGATAAACCTTTCATATTATTAGTTTCCGTAATATCTGCCTGTCTGTGGCCAATCATATTGCAGGCGGAATAGCAACTGTGTCATGTGTCTCAACCCGCCAGATGACTGGACAAAGAAATGATAACTGTACATGTATTGTATACAGTTTGCTATGGGGAACATCCTTCATATTTAATTGTAATAATCTTAATGCATCATCAAGGAGTTTAATAATATTTGTTGAAGTTGCGTTATGATATGTGAGATACTAAAGTTACAATACAAGGTTAACCTCCAAAAGGGGGTGGGGGGGGGGGGGGGGGGGGGGGTGGTACGTAATTAATCGTCAGTGCGGATGTATGTTTACCTGGTTAAGCTTTGTTCCGGATTAACAAGGTTTTCTTGTGTACGTTCCCTTTATGATTGACTGGATATATATTTGCTGGGCACAATAAAGGCCCCCAGACCAGTTACATGTGTGAGTCATTTCGAACTCTTGTTTCACAAAATTATTTGAGCAAGCGAATTTTACCAATCTTTTTATCTACCCATATATCTCAAATAATGTTTATTTCGAAGTTTCCTAATTAATAAAACTCATCTGCTTCTATTCATATCGTTAATTGTACGTCGCAAAACTCCCCAAGGTCGACATAACGGACGTAGACCCTATAGATTTGTGACTTGATGCTTTTTATCAATGAAACGAAAAAATATTCTTACGTTTTAAACAATAACATAAATCGCACACTTACACAGTGAGTGCATGCCTGTTGAGTTCAATAACGGATAAATATTTCATATCAAAATATATAACAAAACACATGAACGTACTAACGTATTTAGAATGTTTTCACTTTATGGGAGGAATAGCTGAACTGTCCTGAGTCTTTGATGGACTGTGTTGATGGAGTCCCTGGATCCCACTGGTGTCGGAGGTGTCCTCCTGGTGGGGTAAAAAGTCATCCACAGCGAAAATGACGCCATCGTCAATTGCATAAGACAGTTCTTTCTTCAACTTTAGGAAAAGGTGGAAATCTGATGGCATTGCAGCCATGGTAACAACATATTTGTGCACAGGTGGGTTTTTCCACGACGTTTAGCCTTGGTATTCTCACATAGTTGCCTAAGTGGATTAGCATAATACTGTCCATTAATGGTCTGACATTTCGGGAGGTAGTCCACCAGAAGGATTCCTTAGGAATCCAAGATACCGAGGCCATCTCGTTGTCAGATGAAGGAACATATTCCCTTATTCGGAGGAAGATACGCTAGCCTGTTCCATTGCTTTGACTGTTGTTTAGTCTCTGGCTGATGGTGGTGATCAATGGTTACACATCGCTCAACAGAATCAGCAGGGTCTACCTCACAATGACGTAAGTTCTCACGAGAGAAGATGAACCTGACTCGTGTCTGATCAGGAGTTAAGAGTCTTGGAATCCAGCGTGCTTAAACATTTGTTCTCATTCGATCATTCATTATCATATCATGTATTTTATCAACATTTTCCTCAGTGGTGACAGATCCAGGACTTCCTGATTTGGATCATCTTCGAGGCTCTCTCCCCCGCTTCAAACCCGCTGCCCACCTCTTAACAATGGTAAAGGAAGGAGCATCAGTCGCTACAGTTGACACTTTATCTACGGAGTCAGCCCTTTCAGTTGGAGAAAAAACAGAGGTCTAGTGGTCTAGGAGGCGTCTTCCCGGAGAGCGAAAGGTCGGTGGTCCCTGTGTGCATCATAAGCATGGGACGTTTTTAACTTAATGCATGCAACTGTTAAATCTCGACTATGCAGCCTTCGTCTTTTAGGCTAAGCATGTTTCAGCCACCGTAAGGGACTGACGTTTTAATCTTTACAAACAATGGATAATATTCAATAAACATCTGAAGGGACATGATCTACCTGTTCCTGTCTGTGTATATTTGTAAAGCTACCAGTGCTACAATACTGAATAGAAGATCCTTCGGCAGCAGACAGAGTCCGAGTGGTAGGAGGAACAGCGCTATTGTCATATGTAATGCCCAGGATGCGTCGGCAGGGGGCACCTGACGTCTCTGAAATCATAATGCATTTAGGTGCATAACAAACTATAAGAGAACATATGGATGAGAACTGTTAGGTTTATGATAAGCATGTAAGCGTCATTTAAACAATTAGATATGAAAGTTAAATATGTGCACTCGATATTTGTTAACATGTCCGATTCGTTGAAACCAAAAGAATATTGGTAATCAGTGAGACTAGAAACATTGATCAAGAAGAGTTCTTCAAGCACCGTGAATAATGTAATCAGTGAGACTGCATCAAATTGCGATTCGTACAACAACCGGTAGAATATGAAACGGTTTAACCCCTCGGTGTCATCTCGTTTCCAAGTTGGATAGTTTAGTCTTTGAAACGAGACGATTACGACATGCACGGACAGTCTGTTGTCAGCTGAACATGACCTTCTTTACCAGTGGAGGAAAGTGTCTGTGTAAGTGTGCTTCCTTATAGTATTGCTGTTGTTAGCAATATAAAACACGTTCTTTGAATTAATTGGACTAAACAAATCCTCATTAGCTCTCTCAAGAATTATTTTAAACAAATTTGTATTTGAAATCGCATACTCCCTGGGTATTTTGTACACTAGTGAAGTTGCACTTCCTAGTCAAATCTCGCAGTGCGACAGTTTAAAGGGAAAGAAACTTAAGGTGTGATTCTCATTATTGCTCCAATAGCCCAGGGAACCCCGGTAATCAAACCGATTTAGTTTATATAATCTAGTCGGCATTGGTTTTCAGTTATTCAAAAGTCATGAACACAGTTTCTTTTTCTATTTTAACATTAAAATGTTCAAATACCTGGGAATGTAGAGTTCTATGCGTTGTCGGGACCAACTCAGGCTGTTCAGCATCTGTAACATAGGATAACATCGTCAGCTAGTTCAAACACATATATATGTGGTGTAGAATACACTCTTAAACGTCAAGGTTGCTAAATGCAACATATTAGAAATGTTCCCAAATATATCATTTAACATGATGATGAAATTAAAGAAATGCTTAAGACATAGACAGTTACTATAAGATGACGGCCAGCCTGGCGCGAACAACATGCATGTACATAAAAGCGTAAATAATCATAAGAAATCTCTGCTAAAAGCAGAGTCCGTGGTACGAATCTGATTATACTATGTAAATCGTCCGGTGAGAACATCCTCTGATCTTGGACAAACGATGAGCTCGTAAATGTCAGTTTGTAGACGATTTGTACGATCTCATATCACTTACCACTCGTTTACCTGATCCAGATTCGACCATCACCATGCCACCGTGATACAGCTTTGGTATCGCTTACTACGGTGGAAAATACCATCCATTTATTCAAACAGATGAAGCTGTAACGTATTCAGTTCTGAATTTAGGGTTTCAGAGTATTCTACTGCAGATTGATAACACATAGACATACCTCGGTCGCCAAGTTGTTCCCGGGCAGGTAAGCGTTCAGATATTGTCTGCTTGGTACTGGTTTCTCCATTGGTGGAGCTTGAATCCCTGTCTTCCAAAGTTGTAGCACCATCGGAACAAGAGGCGTAGGTATCGTGAGTGTGTCCATCATCCTCCAGAAACACTGAGTCCCTTTGTTCACTGAGAGACACATGTTCTACAGTATCTGCAGAAGATGTGCTACCCACCCAAGAGGACATGGGAAAGAAATTCTCGTCAAATTCCATATTTCGTTTAAGCGTAGAATCGTCTTTCTGTGTTCTTGAAGTGTCATCTTGATTTCCTTTTGTAATGCCTTCATTTGATAAATCAGCTACGTCCTCAGAACCAAGAGATGTGTCGGTTATACCAGCAAATAGAAAATCTATTTCATCATCTAAATCTGATTCGGAATTGTCCATCGGCATAAATGTTTCTCGTTCCAAGGGAATAAACGGTCTGAGAATCTCAAGAGATCTTGACCTTCGACGAGGACTCGGTGTGATATCAGGGGATTTAGGTACTTGGAGGGACATATACTTGTAATTGTTCTCATCTTTGTTTTCACCAAATTGAGGAAAGCTGTTGTTAAACGCTCCTAAATTGAACCCTTCGAAGGTGAACGCTTGCAAGCCTTGGGTGCCGGACGTGTCTCTCATATGGGGGAGACTGTTGGATCTCTTCAAACGAGGACCACTGGTCCTCTGCCCGCAAACACAACCGATCTGACGTCGGAAATCCGGTTTTTCCAGCTCATCTGCAATGTTTGGGTTATCTATTCGAACAAGTTCAACAAGGGTAATTCTGGCTAATTCATTTTCCTGGAAGTTGAGAGAATGTAAAAGGCCTCTCCACTTTATTCCCTCATTCACTGACGACTTCTGCAAGTCGTGATATATTTCCTTGGACAGTAAGCCGAATTTGTTCAGAGATTTCCCTACTGGCATTATGTCAACCGTTGACGCCAGTTCACACATAACACACGGGTTGCGATCCATTGTTGATTGAACCTGGAAGAAAAAGAGACATCTAGAATGGCGTTCCGTTGAAATGATAGGAGAGCACAATGGCAACTGTGACATCACATCGCAGCACGACGTGCACGTGCCGTATGCCACCCATGCATGTTTCAAAATGCAGTTTCCGTTCACCGCAATTTTGTGGGTATTTACCGTCACTGTTTTGCACGGTTGAAGCATTATCTGTGAACATGACACGAAGAAGGTTATCAGAGGCGCAAAAAATGGCGTATGATTGGTATGTATTTGATTTTCAAAGGTTATGTTATAAGGGTTTCACTGCCAACGCTCGTACAACCCTCTCTGTAAAATATGCAGGGGGTGCTTAACCCTTTTCTTTGTATATATAGGACTTAAATATTGGACAGTTGCATAAATAACAATCATGTCTTGTGTACGCATGTGAAAAGGAAAAACATTCCAACAAGAATACACGTGTGATATTGTGGCATATTGAGTTGCAATTTGACGTGCAGAGGTGAGTCCCTTTAGTCATGACAGGATCTGAGTATAGTTCGAATGCAGATTTGCCCTGATTATGATCTATAGTTCGTCGGTAGACATATATGTGCTCATGGGTTTTTCACAGACTGCTGTAAACGTAGTAACTGTCTCTATCCTACATCACTTCGAGCTCTACACCGCAATTTAGCTCTCTAACGACTCTTATTTTGTCTCGATTGTCCTCACATAGTTTATATTTATATTTGATTACAAATACGAGAAAGGCTGTATATTTGTGTATGTATGTATACATTATGGGCCTTTCTATATCTACGTATGTCAAAACGAGACGCGTGTATGTATTAATCATTGTTGTCCATGAGCCGGATGTCTTGAATACAATAATAACACTTCGAGTTGACCTGAATTTGAAAAATTGAAAAATTACGGATGTCTTGAATACAATAATAACACTTCAACTTGACCTGAATTTGAAATATTGAATAAGTACAGCACATATAAGCATTACTCTAATAGTTATGATGTTACTTGGTCCATAGATGGGTATACTCAAAAGGAGTGAGTAGTGAGATTAAAAGTCACATCGGCAATATTTCAGCCATATCGTGTTACACAAAAGGAGTGTAGCAGAGGAATGTGTTCCGGGGTACAAATAAACAGGTCAACAGGTCAAAACTGTGTCTACAATTTGAACAAGCGTTACATAACGATCAATTGTCAATGAAGAAGCATGTTTGTTTTATTAAATTACAAATTTTTAGGTTTTTTTAATTTAATACACATATCCACACCGATGCGTACCATTATCATACATTATAGCTAGAACATTGAGTCGTAAAACAAACTAAACTTGTCTACATGTATGTCGGAATACGAACGATTGAACAATGATAGCATTTAAGCAAGCTGGAATGAATTTTGGCCATAAATACGTAATAGCACGTCAGTTTGAGATTGAAGGTTCTTCAATATAATGACACCATATAAGCCTTTTGCCGGGGCAAACATGTAATCATGTAATGTCGGTTCAGCGGAGTGTTTGAACATCCAGACACATGCAGTCTTATCACACCGGTATCTCTTCTCTGTACCCACCCAGACTCTTTGTCTCTCACTGCGACAGATCAAACTTATTACCAGTTATCATAAAATTGATTCATTGATAAATTGTAAATAAGGAGCTAATTATGCAAATATATGGACGGGTTAGGTAGACCGCTCCTACAACTATTGTTGTTTCCCCAATTGTCGTTGCAGCGACCGCAACGCACAGTGTACAGTATGCTTCCGTTATGTCACTCTAACTTTCAACGTTGTTATCAGTTTAATACCTAGCGTCACAAACTTGTGTGTCAGCTATTTCTGGAGTACAAGGGGACACTGGTCTTACCAGGAACATGGTGACATGCATAGACAGAATACCGTAGTCATGTGTCACAGCGCCTTTCCTTTCACGGCCTCTAGTTGACACTAAAGTAAATATCTGCTGTAGGATTCGGTCTGCTAAGTAATCGAGACATTAAAAAATCACGTAATTGTTCCCACGTTAGACATACTGCTAAAATGGGGGTCTTGTCAAAATAAATGGTTATACAAGTACACTTGAAAACTTACCTGTCGTTGAACGCTATCCTTGGGCATATTTAACCCCAATGCCTGGTAATTCAAACGATCCCAGCCAGTATAGTGACGAACAGTTTAACAACAATGCTATTTCTTACCTCACTCGTCCCAGATACACGGCGCCAAGTAGGTCAGCTGGAAAGTGGGGGTAGGAAAACACTCCCCGGTATGAATCCTACTCCCGATTTCCCGGCTGGTAACTGTCACACTGTTTCAAATTTACTGACTCACTGGGTCAGTTGAAGGACTGCTTCAAAGATAGATGTGTTTAGCCATTGTAAGCCTAGGCAGTGGTGTCGCTGTAGTCCTCTGTATGTACATGTCTCCTGGGTTCAAGGGTGCAAGTTCGAGGGTGAAGGTGTGGTCTATTTATATGTCCTACTCACTGCAAAGTTTTGATTTATTGAGGGGATTTTATATAGGGCGGCTACAACTCATACAGCACCGGGTATGACATAGCGAAATGAATAAAATTATAATTTTAAAGGGGTTTCATTTTCAGTTGCAGGAGATGTTTGATAACTTAGTTTATACATTTTTGGGTGTTTTCATTATATTACAATTGCGCAAGCAATGTCATGTACATTTTCGTCTTTAATAATTGTATCCAGACGATCACCATATCTGAAGCAACATTACGACGCATCCATCATTGATGAATCCGGAAATATATTTATCCAAACTATTTCACTGCGAACTGTACTGTTCAGATTAACGAGGTTACAGTGTTACAGTTACATGCAGACGTATCGAGACATTCCTGTAGACCGACCGACATAACGGTAGTTTAGTCGGAAATATGTAGAGGTACAGGTGGACAAAATCCCTTGACAGTGGGTTCGAATCCAGGACTGCCCCGTTTAAATGTTTTGTCATTCAGAACCACGCCCGTGCCCGCGAGCTTCACGTGCATGCATACAAAAGATTAACGCAGAAACGCACATAAAAGACAAACACATCCAAACACATACATATAATCATAAACACCAACATATAAATTTAGATATGCATTTTAAGTTGACAACGGATCTCGAAGGTATATGGTGTGATGTACCCAGTGTGTGAGCCTATGTACCCCCAGCCGTGATGCCTCGAGGGATCTGTTGCGACGAATTTATCTCACCGACGTTCATTCGCACAGACTATATGTTTCACCGGGTAAAACGCTTTGATTCAGCCTTGACAGCTAGCAGACGACGCAAACTGAATTACTCCCCTTTACCCAGTGCAAACGGATAAATATCGGTTCGTTTCTGCTCAACGATACTTATACGAGATAAGCAAGTTACCTATAGTGTGTCCCGATTAATTTCTCAGCGGGCTTCATGAGCGGCTACATGGAAAGTAATTACCTACTCCTAAAACCATACAGAAGCTGGTATTTTAATGTAAGGTTAGATAAATAATAGTATCAGTTCCTGCAAATACTCTACATATATTCCAACATGAGCAATAACACGGGACATGAAAACAATTAAGAAAACAGTTGACGTCGTTGATAGATAATCATTTCGAATTTAGGTGCGAGAACCGTTTGACTGATGAAGCGTTGTTAAAAGATGCCCGTGTGAGATTGCACTTCCCGGTACAAGATAAGTCGTCGGATGCATCGCTATACACGCAGTGAAGTGTTGCTGAAAGCGGATGGCGACGTGACACAGCTTTGCCATCAGACCGGAAACCGTGACGCGGAATGTCAAGCGGTTACGTTTACTTTGCTTTTTAACTTGTTCATAAATGATTTATTATATACTCTCAACAGTCTTAATATTTGTTTAACTGTAGACAATTTTAATATTGCAGCATTAGCATATGCGGATGATTTAGCATTGCTAACTGAGAATAAAGCTGATCTCAGTTTACTGTTAGATGTTTTACATACTTGGTGTTGCACAAATAAGATAGAGATCAATAAGGAAAAGTCTAAAATTGTCCATTTTGTAAACCCGTCTGTCATACAGACGAAGCATGTTTTTAATGTCGGAAATATGATTTTAGACATTGCTGCTAAGTATAATTATCTTGGTCTACTGTTCACAGACCACTTAGATTTTACTGCAATGGCACGTGCAGCAGCGAAGTCTGCTAATAGGGCTTTGGGCCTGTTGATATGCAAAGTTAAGACAATCGGCGGTATGCATTTCCAAACCTATTCCAAATTGTACGATAGCATGGTGTGGTCTGTTCTTGACTACGGGGCGGCTATCTGGGGTAATTATGATGTGTCAACAATAAATGCTGTACACCATAGAGCCATTAGATTTTATTTGGGACTCGGCAAATACGCCCCTAACGTCGCTATAAATGGGGACATGGGATGGATACCGCCTGTTGTCAGACAGTGGAAAAGTGTAGCAAGACAATGGTGTCGCCTTAAGAATATGTCTAGTAGGTTAAACAAACACGTGTTTAACTGGGCTGATAGATACGCTGTAAATGGATGTAAAAATTGGAATGGTAGAGTAAGAAAGAAGTTAACTAATATGGATTTAGGACATCTATTAAACGCTACAGGTTTTATTGATAATTTTTGTTTGTACACAGGTGGAACAATGGTGTATGAATGAATATGTTACCCGTTGGAGTGATATGTTAAGAAAGGAAGAGGGGCGAAATGGGCTTAATAAATTGAGAATGTACCGATGTTACAAACAAGTATATGGGACAGAATACTATGTTTCAAATAAGATGCCCAGAAACTATAGATCGGCACTAGCCAAGTTTAGATTTGGCGTGGCTCCTATTCGAGTGGAAACCGGTCTGTACGAAGTTGTACCTGTCAACAATAGAAAATGTTTTCACTGTAATGACAGCGTAGAAGACGAGGTCCATGTTTTGTTTCACTGCGCATTATATGACGATATCAGGGCAACTCTTTTTAATGAATGTATTGCTAAATCTTATAATGTTTTAGATATACCTGATATCGACAAACTTTGTTTAATTTTCAGTGACTCCAGTGTGTGTTTTATACTTGCCAAAGTCTGCTTTTTAATTCTTAATCGTAGAAAACATCTTTTATATGGATAACTTTTTACTATATCATCTTTATATCATTTATGTATAAATTCTGTGATAATTTGTCTCTCGTAATTCTATTGAATGGTTCTGTACATTCTATTTATGTCAAGTTGTACAGAGCTGTTTTATGTATGAACAGAAGTGAGACGTTAATAAACTATTGTCTGTCTGTCTGCGATATCTTGATACTATGATTCCACTTCCTTGGAAATCATAAAAAGCTCTACTAGTATTGCATTTTAACCCAACTTAACTCGGACTCGCGTGGACTGAAGACCCGGTGTCATCCTGCCTTCCACTGATCAATTCATAAACAGTTGGCGTTAACGGTTTTATGTCACAGTCCAGAAGTACACACTAGATCTTCACAATACCGTCCGTTCAGGACTACCCTGGTGGTCGCCCAGAAACGCGTTGTTGCCAAGCCTCCGTCACATGGAGTTGCTCCGCTTAGTGTCCTAAGCTCCAATACTGCAACCTGGACGGGAGGCAACACAGGGGCACGGGTGGCTCAGTCGCGTAAGGCGCCGTAATTTGCTGTGCAGAGTTGCGTCCCTTGCATACGCCAGAAACCTTTGATCGTGGGTTCGAATCCCTGTTCCCCCGATTATGTTTCTAGATGTGTCAGCACCATACCCGTGCTCTTTCTACCAAAATTTTAAAAGTGTCATACGACTCTTGTTCATAAATTGTTTGAACAATCAAGGCCTAAGAAAAGTTTTACAGAGAAGGACATTTCCAAGTTCACGCATGGGTGACAAAACTGAGGCTCATGGCCCCCGTGTTCTGGAATTCCGAGGGTGTCATCATGGTGGAAAAGGATTTTGGATTCGACCGGATTATGTTTCTTGATTTGTCAGCACCACCTGTGCTCGTGGGTTTCATCAAAGTTGTAAACGTTAGAAACCTGCATCACTTCCGGCTTCGTCCCACATGAACCTTAACTGGCACACCGTTAAAAGCGGTGTTAAACCCCAATTCACACACTCACTCACTCATTCAGTAATATTTGAAGATGGGGTTTTCTTTGCGAATTTGAGTTCTACGTCTGATGATGAACGTTGAGTGAAGGTGTGTAGAAATATATCTGCACATACTAATATCAATGATGCATTTACGGATAAATCTAACTAAGCAGAGTGATGCTTTTCTTGACAAATGCAAATGGGTTTTGCTCCATGAAAGATACTAAGAGTGAGGTATTGACATTAACTGCGATCCATCGTTATACCAATTTCCTGTGCTCTTTAAAATGTTTCCTCTTCTAAATACCACGACCTTTGTTTTATCTTTGTTCACTTTCATTTCAAATTAAATCTATTAAAGTCACTCAGAAGGCCAATCTGTTGGTGTAATCTCAACACTGTGTCGGCTGCATTAACCATATCATAAGCAAATAACAAAGTAGTAAGACTTTACAGTAATTCCCCAAACTAGATTCCTCTGCACTCAGATTTCTGTGTCAATATATTCATTCAAAAATATAACAAATAATGCTGGGCTAATCATCCAACCTTGTTTGTTTCCTACTGTACAATTTACGTAGATTTGATTGCCTGTGGCATTAAACAACAAACACCATCTTCGTTTGATATTACTTCCACCTATGGTGAACGTACTTGTGTAGAAATCATAACATTTTACGCCTGCTTCCTTTCTTGACATTTGTTGTGACTCGTGTTGAAATGGACAGTTTATCTTACAGCACGGACATTATCTAAGGACATCTGGGCATAAAGAAATATTTATTGACATTTTATTTGATACATACAGCAAATTCGTTTGTACTCTAAGTCCGCACATGGTTAAACAAACTAATCTGTTTTGAATAGATACCGAGGACCACTGGTGTCATATTTCTTCTTGTTAACTAAAGGGCAGCACAAGGGCTGGCTTGATACTAGCCCGAACATACCACATTCGCTGCAGAGATTTCTATTGTAATTAGATGTTAATGTCATAACCGTTCTTTGTACGCAGTCGTTCTCTTTGAGCGTCCATATCAAAACATGGTGTAAAAAGTACATGCGAAACATATCGCTGTGCGTCTTCAGTGTAATGTCGTCACGATATAGCTGAAATATTGCCGATGTGACGTAAAGCAGTAACTCACTTACTCACTTCAGTGTAACGTGTGTCTAGTATTATTGTCATTTTGCAAGTCTTAAGACTTTTCGCCTATATATATCCCTTTGTAACTAACTGTTTTTCAGTAAGATCACGGCTAAGCCGCACCCTTGCTTGCTGTGCTTGTTAGTTGGATTCCTGCTGGTGGGTGGGGGTGGACAGCGATAGCCCTCGCCACTTTAAATAAGACATTCAGGTTATAAGGTAAATAATTACAGTCAGGACAAAAATTGCAAAGTGCTTTTTTAAAAAATATATCCATTTTGTTATTGATAAAACATCATTACTGAGTTTTGAACGCGTGGATGAAATACGGGTCTGGATCGGCAGTGCTACACACAATAAGGTGAAAAGGTTAAACATATGGTTCAATAGAAGGACTGGTAGTATCTGAAAAGATTTCAAAGATCAAGAAAAAGAAAAACTGTAAGTCTGTAACGTCCTACCAGGTGACATTGATGGGGATGCTGTCACTGATAATGTAGCATACCGATGAAGCAAAGCAAGCAAACGATCAGCTGTTAAGGTTTTTAAAAAGTGTGTAATTCAATGACCCACTAATGTACGAATTAAACTATCAGAACATCCGATCATGTATTCATATTTTTGTTTGATTATTCGTGGTGTGTAATATTTGGCCATATACACGACAATCATGGCAGTTTTGAAAACGATCATAAATTTAAAGGGTTGGTCAAACTAATGAACAACCAGTGTTGAAACTGAAATTCGCGGTATCTCCTGATGGTTCAGTGTGTAACTTTTAATTGTGAAGCGGGATTAACGCCGCTTTGACAAGTTGTATCACGGCCTGTAACCCTAATGTGGGAGGAAAGCCCGAAGTGATGCAGGTCTCAGACGTTTACCACTTTGGTGAAACCTATGAGCACAGGTATGGTGCTGACAACATAATCATACAGAAACATATGGGTTCACACCCACAATCATAGGTTTCTAGCGTACCCCAGGGGAGCAACTCATCAAAGCGAATTTTGGCACTCAGACGACTGGGCCACCCGTGCCTCCACTTTATTTTTTGTCTCATGTCAGTTTTGGCAAACCGTACGAACTGAAACTGACACTAGTCGCTACAACAAGTATTTCTTGAAAAACCTGAAATGTAGACAAACATCAGTAAGTGGTGCATGGGGACTTCACCCGTTTTAAAGTTTTACAGTGCACTATGCAATAACCAGAAGATTTCGTACCCATATACCCCAGCGGGTGAGTGACTTTGGTTTGTGTGCACCTTAAGCAAGCATATATAGTTTGTTTTAACAAATATTGAATAGGTAAGGTAGTGACTGAGTGAATGAGTAATGCCGTCAGTGTACAGACCAACAGCCATGTCACCAAGCCTGACCACCCGGTCCAAGTAGTTGCCTCTAACAACTTATATAATGTACTGGGTACTTATTCTAACCTACGAGGGGTGATCGGGTAGCCTAGTGGTTAAAGCGTTCGCTCGTCACGCCGAAGACCCGGGTTCGATTCCCGACATGGGTACAATGTGTGAAGCCCATTTCTGGTGTCCCCCGCCGTGATATTGCTGGAATATTGCTAAACGCGGCGTAAAACCATACTCACTCACTCACTATTCTAACCTACGAGGGGCGATCGGGTAGCCTAGTGGTTAAAGCGTTCGCTCGTCACGCCGAAGACCCGGGTTCGATTCCCGACATGGGTACAATGTGTGAAGCCCATTTCTTGTGTCCCCCGCCGTGATATTGCTGGAATATTGCTAAAAGCGGCGTAAAACCATACTCACTCACTCACTCACTCTTACCTATGACCGGATAAGATGTAGGAATACCTGGTATATGATAAAATTATGTGTGAACATGATTCATGTTTGACAACCATTTAATGTGCACTGGGTAGGAAGGAGGGTGTTGTGTTTGTGCTGGTGGCCAGGGAGTACACCGCGGTATTTTTTTATGTCTGTTGTGAGTTCATATGTATTTCTAAAATGTGTGTAGAATTTTCATTTGTTAAAACACACTGTAATAAATTGTATATGAAGAGTATATGTAGTCAAATGTAAAGAATATTCTGATATGCAGAATATATACCTACAGAGCTATTCGAATCAATCAAAGCCTACAGCGGTTCTAAATATACTGCCGTCATGCAGCATAGCTTACCTATCACACATTACACTTGCCAGTCAGATAAGTCTGATAACATCAGCCAGTCTACAAACAACATATGCGTTCACTTTCGTATCGGGAGCACACTGCGTCTGATTGTATGACACGTAAAACATGCCTCTTCCAACAAGCCATGACAACATCAGTGATGTCACAGTTCAGTGCCTTGGATGTGGCTCACACTATTCCCGTGCAACTTCCCCTGTTCTTCTGCCGTGTCTACATACTGTCTGCAAACCTTGCCTGGAACGCTCTGATAGGCCAGGCAACACCAAGTGTCATTCCTGTGAAAACGAGATTGCTGGAAAGAGAATAGTGGAGAAGACTGAAGGTCCTACGATAGACTATTCTACTGTCCAAGCTGCCCTATTGTTGGATCTGAAGAGGTCCCAGGGAATCGTTGACTGTGATGACTGTCCGCAGCTAAACAAGGCTACATCACGATGCCTGTCTTGTCGCATGTATATGTGTGATACTTGTAGGATGTATCATTTGCGTTATTCAAGGTACATCATTTTATTCACCTTATCAACGCAAATCCAAATAGTACTGTACTGTCAAAGCCTGTGATGCTTAATGATGTTTCAGCAATATCTCCGCAAAAAGACTGTTTTCTGTAAATAATTGAGTCTGAACCAGACAATTCAGTGACGCATTTGTGATACGAAGACATGCATCAACCAACTCAGAAAGCTTGTCCAACCGATTCCGTTAATCGCCTCTTACGACAAGCATGTGTTGTTGAAGACCCATTCTAACCTGAATTTTCACGGGTCTGATGCTTTATTAACTAAATACAATTAGTAACAATCACAGCAATAACGTATATAGCTACTGGTAACTGTACAGATGTGTTGTAGTAAAAGAAAAACAATAGTTGAAAACCTTTTTCCCATTGCTACTACAGCTTTTTGAATTACACTTTAACTATTGACCGGTAATAGGGTTAATTATGTCCTTCTAATTACAGATATTTCGCTGAAGCACACAAAGTGATTTCACTGGTTGAGCTGTTAAAAAGGCCCGATTCCATCTTTAACGACAGGCTGCTATGTCAATCTCACTGGCTGGAGCAAACACTTTACTGTAAAAGATGTGATGTAACAGTTTGCTCGTCATGCTGTCTTGGGAACCATGCCAAACATGCTATAGATGAAATTAGCTCTCACTATGATGAATCCTTACGAAATGTGTCTGAGAAATGTGAACAAATAAACAATGACGTTCATAAGATTAATACTTATCAAAAGCTTTTACTCAGGCAGGGCAGCACATGTTTTTCGCAAAGTGACAGTGCAACTGATGTGATTGAAGCTACTGTTAAATTGGTATTGAGAGCTTTGGAACAACGCAAAGAACTCCTATTGCGGCACCTGCATATGGACGTTAATGAACATCTTCAGGTGGTTGGAAGGAAGAAAGCTGTACTTAAGTCGAGGTTACAGGCTGCAAGGATTACCTTAAGAAAGAGCGAGACAGTGTTAGATATGTGTTCACCTGACAAGTTCCTTGCAACACACGATGCCATCAAGTCCAGGTTAAACTCCTTGACGTCCCAGTCGCCGTTGAAGTATAACATGAGAAGTTTTGACATGCGGCTTTCAGGTCTTAATGACACGGAGCTATTGCTACAGGAAATGTGTACTGTGGAAGAGAGACTAAAAGTGCCCCAGACAAGAAATAAGTCAATTATGTCTGGAGCCGTTTCTGATGAGCAAAGAAAACAGAACAGCAGATCTTTTCAGAATCTTATGTTGATATGAGGCCAAAGATAAGGGAATTGACAAACCAAGATGAATCAGTGGGACCTGAGAATTTGAATTTCATCTGTAAGCTACGTTCCTCACGATATACTACATTACCATTAACTGATAACATGTGGTGGCGACAAACATGCTCTTTGGACAAAGGCAGTTATCAGGTTTGATAGTGTAAATGAAGACCATATTGATAACACTGGGTTAATAGAAGGAGTGTAGTAGTGATGTGATCTCATATGCTAATGGCTGAACACGACCTGAAATAGAGCAGTTCCCCTTCAAGCATTCGTTTTCAGGGTTTTGTCTCAAGCATGTCCATGTCGTCATAATGCATATTGTGTTACATTTGTGACAATAAAAATACTATCTTCCTATGTTTTGTTTGCAAATTGTAAGCATTATACGTGTGTTATAGAAATAACATGTTTCCGACTATTCTTCTTAAAACGGTAAACATGATCCCCAGATCAGTACTGTGTCTATGAACCTTATGAGACTAGAATTATGCGACTGGTTTTAACAAGAACGCTAATTGTCGACATCTAACATGGGGTACAGTTTTCACCGAAAATGTTCACCTTAAAATGTGATTAGTTGTGTGCAGCAAATTAAATACCTTTATCAGATTATAAAATGATTTCCTAATCATCCACAAAACGTCATATAACTCACGCATCACCTAAATGTTGGTAGTTTGTACTGATTCCTGACAACAATGGCATAGCAGTGGGATGACAAGTCTGACTTCACCGCCTGTGCTTACATACTTCATATTTTAGGCTGTTCAATATGCGGAAATGTTCAGTATCATATTACCAGTGGAGTCCTTTCATAATTCATCCGTTCAGTTACATCCTTGATGCTTTAAACTGTTAGATAAGATCTGTTATGGTTCTATGTATCCAGCTCATCCATATATGTCAGAATTCTTGTATATCGCGAGCGATGAGCGAGGGTAATACATGAATTCTCACACTGGTTTCGTAAAATCAGTATGACACACATGCCAGTATATTAATGTCTTGATTGCCCATTTTTTCTTAATACCTTTGACAAATGTTTGAGCTCCCCTTTAGAAACATACACTGATCACTACCGCCGTGTTAGAAGACCACAATTGTCGAATGACGTCAACAGTCTTCAGGTATGACATCGTTCCCTGTGTGACGTCGTTCCGATCTTATGTCACAATAAGCTTCTAATGACGCCATGCTGTCCGGATGACGTAAACAATCCACTGGTGCGCTTGTGCACATACAATTTTTATGAACGAACTCGTTTATTTCTAACACATCTGCTTAATACGAACATATCTGCAAACAAACAGCACAGACACAATTCCACGTGAACATCCTGGTTAGAGTTGGTTCAGAAAGCCTTGATTGACACAGATAGATTACATGAACACGTTCCGACCTGACAAACAACATTCGCCTACTATCACACACTGCACCATATGCATCTGGTTTATCACCATTTCGTCACGTGCCTCTACTGCTGATAAACTGATTATGCTCTTGAGAATCACCCATGTCTAATTAGTGTCGGACGTTGCAATGTGTACATGCTATTATTAGCAGTTACCTGATAAGTGAAGGTAAGTTAGTATGTTACGCTCTAAATCTTGTAACGTTTATACATACATGAAAATTATTAAAACCCACAAGTGAAACAAAGTCTTGAATGCAGCATCAACATATGTTATGTCAAACAAAACAAACTGTGTACGTCATATCGCCTGCAGTGGTTCAGTAATGTACACGTAGTAAAGCTGACATGAAGCCAGATATTTGTACATTGCGATACATGTCCTGATAAGTGACATGTGTATTCAATATCAATACAGAACCTTTTTATCATGAGTCTGGACAACATTGCTGTGATCACAGGATTTAATACTTACTGTAACGGCACATGGTATTGTAAAATAGTTGCCATAACATTGTTTGATTCTAAATTTCTTGAATAATTTCAACAAAATATTATTATTTGTAAACGACTACGTAGGCAATGGGTATTCGAGAAGTTACTAAAATGATAACATTATGGTTTGTGAACATATATTAGTTAAATGTTGAAACCGACTGCTCCTGCATTCTTTACTTCAGTACAGTAAACTACGGTTATAACGAACACGCTTATAACGAACTGACCGATATAAATAACATATGTTTTAGTCCCGGCCATTTGTTGAATATATGCTGTATATATGCTTATAACGAACTACGGTTAAAACGAACTAAAACTAGTGGTCCCTTTGAGTTCGTTATAACCGTAGATTACTGTATATGTGTTACAGGTTGAAATATGGCACTACGAAGATACCCAAACATTGGACCAATCGATAGCTTGATAACTACATGCCCTCGATGTGAGAAGACATATGATCCCCATATTAACTGCCCACGTCTTCTGTCATGTCTTCACGCAGTATGCAGCTCATGTTTATCAGATCTGAGCAAATCTAACCATGAGCTAAAGTGTCCGGTCTGTGGTCACGTAACAGTCAGCCGAGGTGCCCTATCCTTTCCAGTAGACTACATCTCCCTCAAGGCCATCCTACTTTTAGAACTCAAGCATTACCAAGGAAAGATAAACTGTAACGAATGTCTGGATCAGAACAATGCCACTTCCAGGTGTCTTGAATGCCGCATGTACATGTGTGGCACATGTAAACTTTATCATGAGCGTTTTTCTTAATATTACTCTGACCAACACGTACTTGTTGAATTGATGGACCTCCTGGAAAAGCCAGATGTCATCATCAATGAGAGCATGCTATGTGAATTCCACTGGATGAAACAAACCCTCTACTGTAAAAGGTGCAATGTAGCAATTTGCTCGTCATGTTCTATGGAGACTCATTCCAAAACATATGTCAATGCCATCACCTCTCACTATGATCAATCCTACAGAAACGTAAATGATAAATGTCACAGAATCAAAGGCACTCTCCGTGAGATTGCTAGTTCTAGAGGGCATTTAAACACTCAGGTAAATAATTTGTATTCACAAAATATCATTAAAAAAGATGAAATTGAGGACAATGTTAATATTGTACATTTAGTTCTTGAACGTCGGAAGAGACTCCTACTACGACACATGCAAGTTGACGTCCATGAGGAACTTCAGATGATTGCAAGGATGAATGCTGAACTGATGTCGAGGATTCAAACATTACAATCAACTTTAACAAAGAGTATGTCAGTGTTGAATGTGTGTTCACCTGCAGAGGTACTGCAAACAACAAATGTGATTAAGTACAGACTGACCCGCTTGGGTTCACAGTCGCAACTGAAGTATACTATGAGAACAATTGAGATTAGACGATCAGGTTTAAATGACATAGAGACACAGATACAGAGTATATGTGCTGTGGTAGAGAGACCGAAGCTGCTTTAAAGAAGTAGGGAATGTTTTGAGGCAACAGCAGGGCCTTCCATACACATATAGATACAAAGACTGGTTGAGTAATTGAAAGGGCTTTACGATAATGTCAACTTAATGTTTGCAGAAAGTGTTGCAAGTCGTCGACGTTTATCGCTTTCGATGAAACACACGAGCATGGATATTGTACTGACAGATCATGTATCATTAAAAAGGGATTAGAATGTTTCACATCGAACAATTTGTGCATCTGGTCCTAATGAGATGAGATGGGACGTTATTTTCCAGCAAATAAAATAATATCTTTTTCAAATTAGATTTTTATTGTCTACACTGGCTGCCACTGTCAAACAGAATTCAGTTCAACATTCTGACTCTAGTATTCAAGGAGCTTCACTGGCTACCACTGTCAAACAGAATACAGTTCAGCATTCTGACGTTTGTATTCAGTGAGCTTCACTGGCTACCAGTGTCAAACAAAATACAGTTCAACATTCTGAGTCTAGTAGTCAAGGAGCTTCACTGGCTGGTATTGTCAAACAGAATACAGTTCAACATTCTGACTCTAGTATTCAAGGAGCTTCACTAGCTGGTATTGTCAAACAGAATACAGTTCAAAATTCTGACTCTAGTATTCAAGGAGCTTCACTGGCTGGTATTATCAAACAGAATACAGTTCCAAATTCTGACTCTAGTATCCAAGGAGCTTCACTGGCTGGTATTGTCAAACAGAATACAGTTCAAAATTCTGACTCTAGTATTCAAGGAGCTTCACTTGCTGCCACTTTCAAACAGAATACAGTTCAAAATTCTGACTCTAGTATCCAAGGGGCTAAATTGGCTGCCACTGACTGGCATAATACAGTTCATGATTTAGACTCTGGTACCCAAGGAGCGTCACTGGATGGCACTGTCAAACAGAATGCAGTTCAAGAGTCTGACTTTAGTAGTCAAGGCACAACATAGATAAGCATCCAAATATACCAGCGAACTCATAACAGGGAACATACCATTCCTATTTCTAAGATATGAGAGCCAGCATCTGTTGACCGCCCCCAAATTACGCACAGCACCCTTAAGGATCGAAAGAACAAAAAGTGTTGTGCAACAATCTTTTAGTTCATCTCCGATGTATTCAAGTACCATCGACCTTTAAGAATGAATGATTAATTATAGCTTTACGTCGTATCAGTATTTTTACAGCTGTTCAGATGATAACAAATCCAACGTGAAGAAAAAAGACGTAAAGAACATCCATTGAAGCATGATGTCAAAGACCACATACAAATCAGACATATATCACAGAAAAAACAAGATTGCCATAATCTTATGGTTATGAATCTGAACAAAAATACCTGTTTTCATTGGAGAAACATTAAAATATGTTTGTTAGTTTTAATGTCGTACATTTTGTAACTTTGAGCAAACACCTTCTGGGCAAGAGTCGGGTAACGCTCTTTAAAAACTTCAAGGAAAGAGTGTGCTCGATTGTTCCACCAAGTCTATTTACCATTATAGAATTAAACTATAATCCACAGGATGATCACGAATGTATAATTTTATTAATATCTGGTGCAAATACGCATCTACACATACACGCGCAAACATACGCTGAAGTATTAAGTAACTAATAATTCATATTTGACAAAAGGAAATCTTGGTGCTGAGACATTTTTATGACATACATGGCTAATGAGTCCTATGCTATGTGAGTTGTACTTCATAATTATCAACACTGGTATGAAAACGAATGCCAAATTAATGAATTATTTCCATTTCCGTATGTCACGTATTGAATCAACCACAAACACAAATGAAGTTGTAATAACGATTTATTCCCTCCCTTAAGGTAATTTTAAATCCCAATAACAATATTTAAAATAAATCTAATACCAAATTAACTAACACAACTAACTAATCTAGCTTCTACTACAACTAACAATACTACCATCTACTACTAATACTAATATCTGAATACTAACAGTACAAATGTTTACTACTAATAATACAACTATCTACTACTAACAATACAACTATCACGATACACTATCCTAAT